GCTCTCTCTTTATGTCTCTGATGATAAATCCCTGACGGATCTCGACACGTCAGGCGAGTAAAAGTATTATCCCAGCGATTGAGTCATCTTTTCAATACCCTAAATCTCCTGAAGTTTCGCGACACTGCTTGGTCAAGGCGTCTTATTAGGAGTTAACTTGCTGCATGCCCTTGAAGAGCGACTTTGAGGAAAAGCGTCTTGTTTTCCACGGCGCGTGTGGTGGCTTTATTTCTCTCGTGACCATATTCTCTATGATGAATCTCTCCGGATATCCCTTCTCACGAAGAAGGCTCTGGATTATGTTAAATTCCATCCCAAAACCGTCTGCCGAGGTAATTCTTCAAATTGGATGTGTAAGAGTATGTTAAGGTTTGTATACTGTCTCTGTTTATGTCCCCGATGATGAATCCGCGACGGATATCGAAACGTCAGGTGAATAATAGTATTGTCCCAGCCATCTAGTCGTTTTCTTGTCGAACTTCTACTTGTTCAGTTTTACTCACTCGATTTTGCATGGACAAACGTTCGTTAAATGTTAAACTTCAATTTACCTAGTACGCCCGATTTCAATTTTTCAGAACTCCCTGCTTTTCTAAAAATGCCGATACTGTGCTAGACACCATACTATTACTTGACAAACTGCAGTATTCCTCATTTTGAAGAACGACCCAAACTTTACTGGCTTAAGACTTTGGCGGGCGTAGCTTGGGCTAGTTTTGCGTAACAGGGGTTTTCTCGTATGAATCCTTGGCACTCATCAGATAGGCAATCCGCTGTAGTCTAGGCCGAGTAACGCATGACTACAAACAAAAAAACATAAGAAAGTAATTATGGGAAAATGGTGACACCTTTAGAGGAAATCACTGCACCGGCAAATAAAATAGGAAATCCCCCTGCAAGACTTGATTGCCTTCCGCAGCCCCTGCTCCATGTACTTCTACCCAAAAGTATCCGGACCTAAACTCCAGATCAGTCATTTTAAGCCGAACTCGCCCTGCGGGTTCTCTGTCCCGTCCACAAAAGCCCCATGAGTTCATGGAAGGTGTATTGGTCGCGCTGTTAAGGAGATACGGCAAATGATGGTCTCGGAGATGTCTGTGATTTTGCGGGTGCGTGAACCACCGGGCTGAATTGAGTGGTGGTGGGACCAAACTCTTACTGCAGGGACTTGACTACAGTGAAATCTTTGTGTCTGTTTTGCAGAAAGACTGGACCTGTTGGCAAACAGGATGCCCGATCCATCTTACTGTCATGAACCTTTGGCGCGGAAGACGGGAAATCTCAGATGACCGAGGGCGTCATCTCAGGGATTCGATCATCTGCCTCCTACAGTAAAAGGACTAGTCGCTTTC